TCCTGCAAGTGTCTCTACAAATTCCTTGATTTGTGAGCAATGTTTCAATGTCAACCCCTGAAAAAAAGATGTATACATTAAATAAATTGGAAACTTTGGAGGATCTCAAATTTTGACAGATATGATTGAAAGTTCTGATATTGAGCAAAACATTTAATCAGTCAATTGCCTCATTATTCAGGCAAAATGTCTTATTCTATGATCAATTCAAATAAATACAGAGATTTTGAAATATCCATTTGTGTGGCCCCCAGTGTAGAGTTCAGAGCTTGGTGGTAAAGATCACTAATGGTATCTTTGTTTTGTTTTCTGATTAACTCTGATCGAACAGTACTTTCAGGTAAAAGTATTAGCACCTTAGAATTTAGACATTTCTTCTTGAAAAATTATACAAAAATATAGAATATCAGTTTGATCGAAGAATTGCTATATACCAAATATCAACAGAAGAGAGTAATTTACATTAAAGGCACATACAAAGTGATTTAAACTTTATATGGTTCCTTTAAGGTCGTATATATTTAGAGATGGCACAGCTACCTGTAAAACTCTGAAATAATGGCCGCTGTTTTCACAAAGTGAGTTCTACATGTACTTACTGAATACTCCCTGATATAACAAAATGAGTGGGTAGACATAAAATATAGGATTTGGATAATTAAGAGACTAGCAGAGAGACATCTGATAGGGATATGTCATATCAATGGAGGGACTAACAGACCTATCGATATTCCATATAGGTTCAGTGTGTGAGCCAAATGGCAGATTTGACCGTAACAACAATGACCTTCAGAGAGAAAGGAAATATGTCTTATAATGTACCTGAGCATAGTGTAAGGAAGGAATATGACTTCCGAATATGAAGGATCCGTAGCACACTATAGCGCAGCAACATTTGAAGCAATATTTATGGAGGTGCACATGTCTTGATTCTATTAAAATATCATTTGCTGAAAAACGTACGGCTTTCGGGTCGAAAAATGTCTTTCAACACAAGGAGTCAAAAAAGTAAATATTTTGATTCGAACTTTTATACATTTTATAAGACACGGACTGTTATTTTAAGCATACGAACAAAAAAAGATAATAGAGAATTTTCGTTATAAGTTTTTTAAAAACTTATACGTAAACTTATACTTATAAACCCAATAAACAAGGTGTTTCATAATTTCCTAATTCGTCGGGAAATATCTCCTAGGACGGTAATAAAAAGGGCCAATGGCATACCATCCCTTGATGTAAAGCATGTTAAGTTGTGTCATATGTGTTTTCTAGAATCAAATAGGCTGATATAGCACACGGGTTTTACAGATTTATCTACTCTCAAATATATTTTTTGTAGATGATCGTTTTGAATCACCTTGTAGAAATAACGAAGGGAGAATTAGTTCAGCTAATGAATGAGTCGAGCTGTTTGATTGGATACTATGCCTATTCAGCCGATTAATTTTAATAAGCCATTCTGGTCAGTAGGTCCACACATATACTATGCGGAGATCAAACTCTGTAAGTTTATAATCTGCGTATAAAGGCCCTTTTATACGTAAAAACTTTGACCTTATAATTTCATGAGAACTTTGGAATGATCGACTCGTTCGTGTAGTGATTCACTTTAAAGGGTCTTGTTTATCGTACACTACAAGGACCCGTCAACTAGCGTTTAGTTTATCGTGTTCATAATTGACACTAGCAAAGGACATTGTATTCGCAGTCCCTAGTTGATGATGGAGCTTGACTATATCGGGAATAGATATGCCCCACTTGGTACAGATTATGAAATTCAATTTGAATTGATTTTAGTTCGACAAGACCCTTTAAACTATAAGTATACGTATACGTTTTTGAAACAACTTATAACGAAAATTCTCTATTCATAATGTAAAAACTTACTATAATTTTACTGTAGACGTCGGTGTTTAATTAGTGTAATTACGCAAGTGTGTTTTTCAAATATGAGCCAAGCAGATTCAACAAAATTGTGTGGAATATTTAGGTTATTTATGATTCAGGGAACATATTAGTTTTCTAACTATTTAAAACATTATATTACCAGAAATTTTCCATCTCATCGCAAGGGGTCAAACAGCATAAAACATAATACAATAAGACTTGATGGTTGTTTTATAAGCAACTGAGCTATATATAACTACGAGAACTAGAATTTTAGCCGTAGTCCCGATTAGTCAAGGAAGAGCAATAGGCCCTCCTTTATTGATAATGTTCACCGCTGAATAAAGGTCCATATCTCAAAACGTATTGAGACCCATTTTGTAAAAAACAAGCATAATATAAAAGTGATTCATTTGTAACATTTATTTTATTAATACCTGAGAAACAATACAAAACGTCGATACACTGATTACATAATGTTTTGGTATTGATAAGAAAAATAACCTCAAACTTATAGTTTAGAAACCCAAATCATGTATCTATAATCATTTTGTATTATTTTCTGTTGCATTTTGTACTAAAATTGTGAAAAAGTGGGATTTTATTTTTTGGTAATTTTTTGACCTCTGTTAATGGCGGGCATAATTCAGCCTAAAAGCCGGAAGTATATTAAACGGTTATAATAAATATTATTAGGGAACACATGTAGGTATGTTAATGTTAGGTCAAATATCGCTGCGCTATTGTGTGCTACCAGCTCCTTTATTAGACGTCCTAGAGATTTCATACAATGGACTATAATCTCAATCTTCGACCTCCCTATCATTAGAATTTATTCACCATATAAATGAAGTGCAGCCTGACATCTTTTTTTCTGTAGACTTTTAATATCCTTCACATATTGCACAACACGCTGGTATATTTCTCTTTAACATACCGATCACAGAACTTGGGACTGTAACAAGGGTGACACGGGGCTGTCACTTTGACTCAAATAATATCCTTCAAATAGTGCACAACACGCTGGTATATTTCTCTTTACCATACCGATCACAGAACTTGGGACTGTCGGAAGGGTGACACGGGACTGTCACTTTGACTCAAATAATATCCTTCAAATATTGCACAACATGCTGGTATATTTCTCTTTACAATACCGATCACAGAACTTTGGACTGTCACATGGGTGACACGTGACTTTAACTGTGACTCATGCACGTCGACATAACGTAGTCAATTACAACCGTCTTTACATTTCGAACTGAACACAGATAGGCGTATTCAACTCGAAATTTCAGGATTTTCAGAAGTTCCCCTTCGGGATAAAACGAAATAGATTATTTGCTAATAGATGTCCTATCTTTCACTAATTTTCTTTACATCTTTTTGAAAAGGCTAGCATTAATAGACATGTTATGTCATCTCTCTCATATGAATATCACTGTGCTAGTCCTGTGATATACGAGGTTTAATCCAAAAGTTCTGCATCGTTTGCTCTAAAAATCTTAAATATATACATGTATGAATATTGTTCATATTTGGCCTAAACCACCCCATACACAGTAGTTTTATTTTCTGTAAAAATAATCAATAGATTTGACCAGTAACATAGGTATCTGGTTAACATAGTAACATGACAACAGGGTTTGTGTAGCAACATTACAACACATTGTAGTGACACTTAAAGGGTGTTATATGGTACCAAATTTATTATTACTAAATTTTACCAAATTTATTACTTATTATTTAGGTGTCAGTCATGGCTGTTAATCTTTTTTTCTTCTTTAGACCAATACTTTATGTGTGATGTGATATCATACAAGCTATAGTTGGCAACTGTGGTGTCATTGACTTGAAGAATGCCTTGCGCCAAAAGCAGCCCAATAAGTATAAAATCCATTTCAATTTTGACAATGCGCCATTTCATACCCCAATACTTCAATCTGGCTCCCTCTGAACTGGTATCTTTATGGTGAAATGAAGGTCAAATTGAGAGAACTGGACGTGTTTTTGAACTTTAAAATGAAATCTGCCTTGCTGTTCTCGAGCGGCTTCCTGAGACGGGTAATGGAGCATTTAAGGATGTGGTTGATCAGTAGGTCCGCAAATATAATAAATGTATATGGGGGAAATGATAATATTTTGCAAAACTAGCAATAAAATATTGTGAAATCAAAAAATAATTGATTAACAGACACATTGTGTAACTGACATATTTGAAATATGGTATTCTGTAACACCCTTTAAGTGTCAATTTCTTCTAATGTCGTGCTCTCTAGCCTGTTGTCATGTTACGATGGTAATCAGACACCTATGTTACTGGTCAAATAAATATGTTGCTTAATTTTACACACCATGAAACTTCTATATCAAGGATGGTTGAGGCCAAACATAAACAATATTCAGGGGCGTAGCCAGCTTTCGGTCGGGGGGGGGGGTGCGACCGGGGGTTTTCAGTCAGGGGGTGCCATTATAGCATAAAGAAGCCAAAAGAATAAGATTTATTTTGAATTTACAAAAATTGAAGCATACCTCCATCGCACTGGATGGATGGATGGATGGGCTACGCCCATGATATTCATATAATCTTAAGATTTTAGAGCAAACTATGCAGAACTTGTGGATCAACTCAAAGCAGCAAAGCCGATAAACTCCAACAATACAATCTCGATATCATTTCCAACGATGAATCCGATCTTTAAAGATGTGATTTTCATTTCAAATTTTAAATCGCGAGTTTTGATCTTACTACGCAACTAAAAATCAAAACGCAATTATAACGATATTAGCTCATATCTTTTAGATTGGTGATTATGCATTTATTACCAGTTTATTGTCAGACAATAACGACATTCTGACATTTTCATTGTTGGAAAATATTGGCTTGCGTCCATGGGAGCTTATCCTCCTTGCTCTGCAGAATGTATTGACCAACTTTTAAAAGTAAGGAGAGTTTATCTCACGTAACTCATGCATAATCAAGGGCATTAACACTGTGGAGGATGTTTGAGACAAATCCCTTAACCATGATTTTTTGGAAAATATAGTTCTCGACTACGACTCTGCATTTGCCTATCATTGTGCTAGCTTTGCCAGATATTATCATGACATCACACCTCTCCAATAAGTACAATTGAGCTAGATTTGTTAGATTTTATATGGTCCATTTCTCGTTTCATTTGGCATAATGCACATTGCCAGCAAAATGTTACTGCACAACAATCACCCATTACACTGCCCTGAAATTAAATTGAAAACATATTTATATTATGACGTTTCGGTGGTATTTCTTGTACACTTACAGGGTTATCTATATTTTAATATTGTGAAAATAAGCTATTTCTTAAAGAACTCGATCTCAATAAGACTACTCAAACTTATACTCAAAGGATTTAGCAATCTTATTTACCTCGATAGAATTTTCAGATCTTAATTTCACTCTCAGCGCTACCGTTGAGTTGGGGACGATACACGGAATGCAACACTCTTCTCCCATTTTAGCTGCCAACCACGCCTCGAAACATATCGAACACCAACACGCTACACAACCTAAGAATACACAATAGGATAGTTTCTAAATAGCAGTAAAATCAATGAAATCTAGTGCTGCCATCTTTTATTCAGCTTTTAACTTGGGCTAGAGTTCCATTCACTTTCATGCTAAAATCTTGGAAAAGTGGCTTAATTTCATGATTTATCAAAGTGTGTTAGTTGAATCTGTATAAAACTTGAATGATATACCACATGATGACCCTGTTTGTGTGTATGTTGTGATTAAACATGCAAATGTTGATTGACATACAAATAATCCAAGGTTTTAAAGAGTTTTAGCATTGCATCTATGGATATTTGGCTCAAGTTTTTTAAATTGTCATAGAAAATTATTCTAATTACATAAATGTGTAAATCAAAGCTATTATAGAAGGAAACATTTCACTGAATTCAAATATGCCATTTAAAAAAGGTAATGTAAGTCATTAGAGGTCTAATATGCAAGTCTCTTAAAATCTCACGAAAAACGAGATTTCAAAAGCTATATGGAAACTATACTATTGAGTCGTCGCTTTTGCCAGACACGGACCAGGTAGTATAGCAAATTATAGACAAATATATTAGCATGATAATTCTATTTCTAATCCAAAGACAACATGTTACTTCAATCAAAATTTTGTACCAAAATATAGCAATGTTCAAAGATTGTTTAGTGTAACATTTATAAGTGGATTGTTAAATGCCAGTGTCTGTTTATCGTAGGTAGTGAAACGAAGCAAAAAGATATATATATGATAGAATTTGCTTTTGCTCTATATGATAATTTACTCGGTGACTATGGTAACTACGGGTGATTATGTTTTTTATAGCACTTTATCGTCAATTTTAATGTCGGTGAACCCCCATAAATGGTATGATGCAAATGCACAGTATGCATTAACCGAAATATGCAATGAAATTTACGCGGCATTGTCATTATTCTTCTCCCAACTATTACTTTCGGAATTGCAATTTGACGTGTTTAGTTCATCTAATGCTGTTCCTTCATGACAGACCGTTTAGTGGCGTTTATTTCACGGAAGTGAACAGGAAATGACACTCTTTGAAAATAAACGTATACGTATAGTGTCAAGGGGGATTGGGTCCTAAACTGCAACATCGATATTTTTGCCATATATGGGCAAGTCGTTATTACAAAATTCGGATTCAAACAGCCGCCATTTTGTTCACTTCAACATTTGAATATTGAATTTTAGTCTTATTTCCAAACGAAAAATTCCCCAAATCACAAGAAATTATCGAGATATTGATTCAAATCTTTTGGACTTTTTATTTTTATTTTATAGTTGGTTATAATTTTAGAAAATAACGACATTTTGACGTTTTCATTGTTGGAAAATATCGAGTTTCAATCCTGGGAGCCAATCCTCCTTGGTACAATGTAGGGTAATGTACAGTATTCAATCCTGATTATATCACTGATATACCTGGATTCCCAATTACCAGTGGTATCTTGAATCATTTCACTTGAACTGTCACTGGTGATCCACTCGATTACGCTGGTTGCCGAAACGGTTCGTTTCGGTTACAAAATGTCTGAACCTCGAATGTTCGATTTTCTTTTTTCCTTTGTTCACATGCATTGTAGGTAGAATTCCAACAGCATTTTTATCACAAACGTGCAGTGTGTCAGCATTAGAAGACTACAACAGAACCGAACCGTTTCAGTAACCAGCCTAATCGAGTGGATCACCAGTGAGGTGCGTTCAAGACTGTTTTTGTGATACTGGTTGGTCTATATCCTACCAGACAATACAGTGTTACTTTAATCAAAGTAGTGTTGCTGATAATCACGTCGACATGGTAACACACTTATGATATTATTTAGCAGCTACTAAACTATCACGCCAATATATCATGCATCATATAGGCTTACGTATGTACAATATTACTTTTAATGGCTTTAAAAGGTTCATGTAGATATTATCAATGAGAGGAACAAATGGCAGGTAGACAACAAAGATTCTTAACCTATATTATCTGCATCGATTCCAAGAAAGTTCTATAAAAGACGATTCCTCCTAAGGTTCTGCACATATTAGCAAATTGTGCACTAGTGTTCCAAAATTGATGCGAGGTCACAATCTTAAATTTTTCAAGGTCAAATTTCAACCTGCTTCAAATTGAATAAATCTTTTATATAAAATCATCCATTAGCTGCTCATTTTTTAGACAATTAAATCCTTAAATCCGTGGTTACATGTTATAACTGGCATACTCACATGCTTCGATATCGTCGTTACAGTCACACAGTCCACTATCCCAGGATCGTTTAGGCAGCTGACCTGCAGTAAGAGCTGTGGGAGTTGGTTGTTGGACGACTACGGTGGGAGGACCAGTGTATGGCTGATTGGCAAAAAGAAGTTCATAAGACATGTAAGAAGTGTTATGGTAAGGTACTCACATAGCCTAAAATTAAATCACCAGGGTCATGTGAAATTACTCTATGAAAAAAAGTAATTTTAAAGTTAAAATTACCCATTGTAAACTATGATACAGTATATCGCGGATACCACACGGTATTGCGTTACTACACTTTACAAAACAAAAGACTTTACAAAAGAGCTTAAAAGGGGGATTTAAATCACTCTTTGACAAAGTTCAGAGTACAGAGTGTTGTCACATTATTAACATAAAGGTAATTTATCATATGACAAATGTGATAAAATTCTGACCTAAGTTAGGAATAGACGTTAATTATCTTAGTTTACAAGTTATAGTTAGTATACCGAAACTTGTCAAACTCTGGCTCGTAAAATATATATGCTCTATACTACAGGGTGGGCCAAAAAACGCCCCTTTTTTCAAAATGCATTAACTTTTTTAATTTTTGATGCAAAATAATAATTTACATACCAAATGAAACTAAGGTTGTTATCTAGCCATTGATCATGAATTATACACTTTTACTTGAATAAAATATGTCACCAGCGTCTCACTTAAACATGTGGTGTGCCATGAGAAATAAGCATAATTTGCATAATGTTCCTAATATGATACGCCCTGATGACCGCAACCTAATAGCCCTTATTCAAACCCATGTGAGTATAGGGTATGGGGAGGTCTCCAGGAATGGTATGAAGGCACCCAATCTAAAACAATTGCTTAACTAAAGCTGGCAATTAGGACACGTTGAAAAAAATCTAGCTAACATTTCATTGATACTGCTATATCAGCAAGGCGACTAAAACTAAAATCTATCATCAAATGGCGTGGCGGACCAATTGAACTCCTCTTTTAGATCAAATATAATCCCAGTTGAAGGACTTGTTACATTATATTATTACTAAGAACCCTTGGCACTATATAACTGCAAAATTTGGGGTATGTAGGTTGGAAAATAAAAAAGTTAGTATAGTGTCTTGAAAAAAAGTGGCGGTTTTTTGGCCCACCCTGTATATTTGTACTTTATCTTGATATTGGTATTCCTGCTTTTAATGTTTGAACATACATTTTTTGAACTTTGTAGAATTCACGATGTACAATTTCTGTTATTGTAAGATGCTTTACAGTCGTTCCGATGTTGTTAATAAAGTTGACATTTAAGATGTCATAAACGACATTAACGACTCGTATCTTTAACAAGAAAGTCCAATAAAACAGTTATTGACCTTCACCTAATGGTCGTATTCTTGTCATAAACATCGGATTAAAATGCCATTCTTGTATCATTCATTTTTTATTTCTGTCTAACATGTCTACTATTTCTTCATTTGTTCACTACTTTACATGGAACTCAAATATCCCCAACCACCATTTCCCATTGGTTTACATGGGAATGACGATTTTCAAAAATTAATAGTTAATAAAAGTTATTATAAATTTTCGACCTCTTGTAATTGAGGAAAAAAAGGGGAAAATTTGGAGGCATTGAAAATGAAGTCAAGTTACATTTCCATCAATATTAAAAGTATTTTCCTCACAGGTTATGTAAATTCAAGCATAAAGAGGCTTTAACACGCAGTTCAATGAGGGGCTAAGGTTGCCAAACTTATGGAGGGGAGTGTATATTCGTACAGGTTACAGTTTTGATAGGGAGGAGGTTGGCGTATCACTAAAATTCAGGTTGTGCGTTTTTAAAAATAAAAAGATATTCTCCCAACTATGTTCATGCAAATTCACAATTAATAAAGGTAGTCACGCAAATTCTGGAGGATTGGTTCAAAATTTCCTCATAACAGTTTCATTCTCAGTCATTCGCAAATGTGGGCGAATTGTCTCTTCAAGACCATCATACAGTTTTATCATGAATCGCCTTCATCGCTCAATAATCTTGATTCAACTCGTCATAGCTATAGCTACAACTATACTATGTAATGATAAATGCCAATGTTTCACCTACAATGGTAAAATTGAGAAGCTGGAGATACACGTTTCAGAAATATTAGGTAACTCGCATTAGATAAGAAATTGGTACATTTGGAACATTTTAGGAAGGATAACAGAAATGTTGTTGGCAAGAAATAAGTATACGGGTAACAGTGATTCGTGATTTGGGTAGTGATTTAATCTGTTAATATAAGTGCTATTTCTATTTTGCATTGGTGACTGTTAAACACGACTTATACACGAATCTTCATACAGAATGTTTTTGGAATTATTATACCACGTGTTTGTTCACATACGTAATCGCATACGATTTCCTCACCTGGGGTAAGGGTATGTATCCCTTTTCTGGCAGCGTATTCGGCTTGGAGCGCTGGTTGTTTGAGATCGGTTGTGTGGTCAGCGTTTTTGACTGCTGTGTCTGAATCTGTAATGGTTGTTCTTCTGACGTCTCGTCCATTGTGACTCCTTAATGGTGTATTATATCAAAACAAACATCTGTCTTCTACAAAATATTGTTTCGAAAGGAAATGCTGAGATACAATGCGAAAGTCTGTTACACAAAATATTCCATAGGGATGAGCAATTCCTGTCGCTAAAATTACACTCTCGAGGTGAGGTTACTATCCAATATAGTTGAGTATCAATAATGTTAGATCCTGACAAAATGTCAACATAATTCCATCATATGATATAGGGTGTCTCCTCTATCAAATTGAAAGCACTGTAAACAAAGCTCGACACTCATGTAATATCAAAATTGGTTTCGAACAATCCTTGCAAAATGATTACGCTATCTATACTCCATCAAATTATTAAACCATTGTGTGCAAAATAATGCAGTTATTCAATCCATAGTTAACGTCAATAAGAGATGTGAATATACAGCTATTCAAATTCCCAGTTGATCTGTCCCATTTTACCATCAGATTCATCAATGGATGTTCACTATCCATCACAAGAACATCATTGTCATCAAGACCATACTATATATAATGAACTAATATAGCGTGTATTGGTATGCCATACTATATAATGAACTAATATAGCGTGTATTGGTATGCCATATTATGCAAATAATGTAGCAAAGCATATGTTTTATGTCTTTCAGATAAGTTGATTCTATCTATAGTTATGATAACAAAACACATTTAATAATTCCAATAGATCACCTTACAAAGAGTCATAAGCGTTCGTGTCGAGCTGTCTTACCTTCACTTATATTATCGGCGCTTATTAAGACTTCCCTTACACTAGTGCCCCATTATTAGTTTAATTTACAGAATGTTAGAAATAAGCCACGTGCCATATTCTACATCTTAATTTACAGTATATAACTCGAGAAAGTTATATCAAAATACTTCAATGATATGGAATTCACACAAAGCTGGGCAATGTGTATCCAATGCCAGCCAAGCAGAACACGCTATTTCACGTAACTGCATTCCATTATATTACCAACTTGACTCTAAAGATCGAAATTGATGCTTTGCTTACTTGACTCTTGCAAAAACTTTCATTGATAATATGTTCTTTTAGTCATTTCGTATCTTTCGTATCACTCGATTCTGCGCATCTCATGCAAATTTAAGCAACAAGGTATGTTCATTCCACATTGCACAGAGTCCAGGGCTTAATTCCTTAAAGTATCTGGTTACAAAAACTCCCTTAGTTGATGTTTTTAATTGAACGATATACTGTATGACATAGGACAGTACGCGGATAATGTTTTAAACGCATCAGACTGCCGGTTATGTCCTTATAAACTTCTTGGAACATTGAGATAATATTTCGTTATGTCTCTTAATACCATTGATGATGAAATAAATAACAGTTTATGATGGGAATGTAGAATCATATGCATGAATGTCCTTAATCATAGGCATTAACCACCGGATCATTAATTTTCTAAATGAAGGTTATTCGTTCGTTTAAAGAATTGCATACAAAAAGCATTCAACTCAAACAAATTTAACATCCACACAAATGCGGCTGATTTGTAGGTTTTGGATACAGGGTATATCCTAAGGGAAATACAATATATCTACACCCGAGAGACCGAGAAAAGATAAACAGGATCAACGATTTGCATTGACGAATCCGTTGCATACTATAGCGCAGCATCATTTGAACCAATATTTAGGGAACTGCATAATAATGTCTTTATTCTTGTAAATACCATTTGCTGAAAAAACTTCAAAATGTGTCTAAAAACGAACTAAAGTTAATGACAGTATTTCATTAGTGTAGCTAAATAAGTGTGCTTTCTGACTTTGTTTAACTGTGCAAAAACTTTGGGCAATTCATAATTGCGAACATATTAGGTTTTTACTATCTACAACATTTTATTACCAGAATTTATCACTATCATCGCCAGGGGTCAACATATTATTGTTAATGTTTCATTAAACGGAATGTTTATATATTCCAAGGACATGTCTAATAATCTTTAAAGGCATATACTATATGTAATCGAACGCTTTAATTTTTTTCCTCGACGTTACTACTGGCTATCATCACATTTTTTCTTGATTGTATTTCTTCTTTGGCATTACTAATCATTTATGTTCGGTTGAGTGTAATGAATTAGAACATAAATATTTTCTATTGTGTACTTGTGAACTCGGTTACCAATCAGATTGGCGTGTAGTTTCATGCATGTGTTTGTTTCTGAGTGAGCGAGTTGTATTGTTATTGTGGTTGATTGCTGGATATTTAGGATCATTCTGGCTTTGGTCGCCTATGCATGAACACTTCACATACAGTTCAATAAACACACAACATGGATCAGCCTGCCACGTTAAAAAACGTGACAGATATTATTTCCTCAGAATTCAACAAGTTTTCGAGAGCTCTTAGAGAAGATAATGAGGAGACAAACACACAACTTCTAAAGAAATTCAAGCAAGACGATTTCAACTTCAAGAGAAAGGGTAACAAAGTGCAGTATGAATTTAATTCGAAACTAAAAGAACGCTTTGATACTTCCCAGAATCTGTTGGAACGTGCTGCAAAGGTGGAATCCGGTGAAAAGCAAGACGAACTGATTATGAAAACGCACGAAACGCTTCAAGAAGGTATGAATTTAATTGATTATAGAAATAAATTAATCAAAATGGCTGATAGTTCAGATGCAGGTTGGAAAACCGTTGAAGAATATGACAGAAAACCATTAGCATTAGATGATGACGATGATAAACGTATACGTTCCGCAGATAGAGACGCTATTAGAAAAATGAGATCAAGTCGATCAAGATTCTCTCGTCGTAGTTATAATTTCAGGCATCGCGGCAGTTTCGGCAGAGAAGATTATCAACGAGACGCGGCATGGGGAAACCAATTCCAACCAGGGAATTTCTACGGTGGACCGACCTACGGGAACCGGGGCTACGGCTGGCGCGGAAATTATTTTGCCAACAACATCAGCCAACGTGGTAGAGGTCACTTCAAGCCAGGCGGCTGCTGGGTCTGCGGGGACCTTTCGCACTGGGCAGATTCCTGTACAAAGAAGACCAGTACCGACGTTGCATCTCGATAGACCCCACACTTCTGGTCAGGGAGCTATAGACAAGTTAAGTAGCTCAAATGATATTTTGAATTCACTGGGAAACAAAGTAAATGTAAAAGGCAGTTTAAAGAGGCATTTCAGTTTCTGGCAAAGCATTAACACAAATAGTTATGTACTTGACATAATAGCTAATGGCTATAAAATTCCATTTGAACAAATTCCACCTAGAGCTATTTTGAATAACAACAAATCTGCAATTGAAAATTCCGATTTTGTAGTAAAAGAAATACAGGCACTAGAAATTCTGGGTTGTATAAAAGAAGTTGATGAGATTCCATGGGTTGTTAATCCTTTGACGGTTGCGGAAAATTCATCTGGCAAGAAACGTTTGGTTTTAGATATGAGACATCCGAATGAGTACATTTTAAAATCTAGTGTGAAATATGAAGATTTGTCAACTGCTAAAAATTATTTGAAAAAAGGATCAAAATTAATATCCTTTGACGTCACTTCCGGTTACCATCACATCGATATTTGCGAACCTCATCAAACTTTTTTAGGGTTTTCGTGGAACATGTTAGGTGTACAAAAGTTCTACGTTTTCACTGTATTGCCTTTTGGAATCAGTACTGGAGGTTTAGTATTCACCAAAGTTTTCAAAAGTCTTGTCACCCATTGGAGGTCAAAAGGTCTCAAGGTCATTCTCTATTTAGATGATGCTCTAAACGTTTCTGACAGTACTGAACAATCAAAACTGGACGCCGCTCTTTTGAGGTCGGATTTAAACAGTGCAGGATATGTCATTAATGAGAAAAAGTCAGAGTTCAATCCACAGGGATCCTTGACTTGGTTGGGTTTTGTTCTAGATATGAACCAAGGCAAAATTTTCGTTCCAGATTCAAAAATTGAACATTTGAAGAATTTGGTCATCCTTACGTTGAAACAGAAAAAGGTTACTTATAGACAAATAGCATCAATTGTCGGAAAAATCATTTCAATGGGACATGGTTTAGGGAAGATCACTTTGCTAATGACTAGGTATCTCAGCATGAAAACTGCTGGAATTTCTAATTGGGATCAATATACAGTGCTATCAGATTTTGATCGAACAGAATTAACATTTTGGTTATCAAACATACATGTATACAACGGTGTCGATTTGATAGAATGTCACGCTCCAGAACGATTTGTATATTCTGACGCTTCTGAAAGCGCAGCAGCTGGTTATATAATTGAGCATGGCGAACTCAAAAATCAATCTATCAGTTATCAAGCGTGGACGGATTCAGAAAAGGTAAAAAGTTCAACTTGGAGAGAATTAAAGGCAGTAGAAATTGTTCTAAGTTCTTTCAAAAGTGAGCTTATTGACAAGTCCGTTTCTTGGTCTACAGACAATCAAAATGTGTGCAGAATTACAAGTAAAGGAAGCATGGTCACTGAGCTTCAGGCTTTGGCAATTAGAATTTTTGAATTTTGTAGGAAGTTCAAAATAGACTTGAATTTTTACTGGATTCCAAGAAAGTTCAATCAAAGAGCAGACGATTTGAGCAAAATGATCGATCCAGATGATTGGATGGTGTGTCCATCTATTTTCAAATTCCTGAATCAAAGATATGGGCCTCATTCCATTGATCGTTTCGCTAGCGTAGATAATACAAAACTACCACGTTTTAATTCCAAATTCGCCCAACCCTCTACCGAAGGGGTAGATGCTTTCAGTTTCAACTGGGAAAATGAAAACAATTGGCTTGTTCCACCTATTCAACTTGTAGGGCGGGTAGTCGATCATTTGATAGCTTGTAAGGCTATGGGAACGCTCATCGTACCAAAGTGGACATCGTCTTATTTCTGGCCTCTCATTTTTAAAGATGGGAATTTTGTTCCAACTGTGGTAGATCACATAGAGTTTTGCAATCCCATGAATATTTTTCAACAAGGACGTTTTCTTAACACTGTGTTTGGAACGAAAAAGTTAAAATCACATGTTC